GGCTGCAAACAAAAATATGTATTTATTATATACATACAAATATATGTACGGAGATTTATTATATATATATATATATATATTTTTTTTTTTTTCCTTAATCTATGTTCAGGCTGCAAACAAAAATGCCATAGACTGGGTGGCTTAAATAATAAACATTTTTTTCTCACAGTTTCAGAGTCTGGGAAGTCCAAGATCAAAGTGCTGACAGATTCGGTGTCTGGTGAGAGCTCTCTTCCCAGTTCGTAGGTGCCTGTCTTCTCCCTGTGTCCTCACATGGTGGAAGGAGTGAGGGAGCTTCCTAGGGTCTCTTTCATAAAGGCACTAATCCCATTCATGAGGGCGCCACCCTTATGACCTACTCACCTCCCAAAGGCCCCACCTCCAATACTATCACACTGGGCATTAGATTTCATCATATGAATTTTGAGGGGACACAAACTTTTAGTCTATAGCCATATGCAGTAAGTCCTCACCTAGTGTCGTAGACGGGTTCTGCAACTTTAAGCGAAACAACATATAATGAAACCAGTCTTACCGTACATAGGCTAATCAATAATTGACGTGAACAAGAGTTCAGTTCCTAAGGCATCTTATCAACATTATTGCAAAACGATGTTGAACAAAACGATGTTAATTGGGAAACTGCAGTATATATATTTAGAAATATTTATTATATACATACAAATATATGTAGGGAGATTTATTATTAAGTACTGGCTGATGTGATTCTGAAGACTGAGAAGTCATGTGATCTGCCATCTGTAAGTTGGAGACCCAACTTAGGAGAGTTGGTGGTGTAGTGTTAAGGCTGGGGAGCTGGACCACTGATCGTGTAGATTCCAGTTTGGGTCTAAAGGTCTGACAACCACGAGCACTAAAGTCTGGAGAAGATTGATGTTTCAACTCAGGCAGAGAACAAATTCAACCTTCCTCGCATTTTCGTTCTATTCAGGTGCTCAACAGATTGGATGATGCCCACCCACTTTGGGGAGGGCTGTCTGCTTTATTCAAATAGTACACCAATACAAATACTAATCTCTTCCAGAAACACCCTTGCAAATACACCCAGAAATTAAGTTTAAACAGACATCTGGGCATCTCGTCACCCAGTCAAGTTTGCCCTATAAAATCACACCCAGCAACACACACAGCAGCTGGGATGCAATAAGCAATCGATACATAAGGCCATTATTATTACTGTCGATGTAAGAAATGCCCAAATCTGTAGAGAATTTGTACAAGAGTTTATTTGAGCCAAACCAGCGACATACGCTGAGGAGCAAGATCTCAAGTGCTCTGGAGAATGACAGTTTTGCAGTTTCTTGTATGCATTTGAAATTGAGGGAAAAGAAGGACGATGATATAAAGGTGAGAGAAAGCAAAGTGGGGACTGGATTATTGGATAAGATTATGTGTTCTTTTTGAGGGTGGTCATGCTTTTAGAAGGAGAGATCCGAAAGGGGGCATTTCAAAGGAGTGTTAACCTGGATGCACAGAAAACAATGGCCGGGTCTTGCTTAAGGCAAAGATAAGCCTTTAAGTAAAGAAGTTGTAGGCCTGGGACCTGACTACCCACCATGACCTGTCCAGTTAGGAATTTATGATCAGATCATCCTGTGAGGTAAGTTTCTGTCACATTATGGTTTTATGGACAAGGAAACAAAAATTCAAAAATGTTATGTCATTGGCCATTGTCACACAGCTTCCATGATATGCTGGTGAACCCAGTCTCAAAAATAGAAAAAACAAACAAAAAAAACCCTGATTTGCCACATTTACCAATTCCTGTGGTGTAAACATTCCCGCCCCCGGCTGATTTCAGGCTATCAGTGGTTTAACAATCAGTTCACCAAATTCCAGAATATTTAATAATTGGCTCTTATGAGCAGGTGTGAGCTACTCCAGCACAGGACTGCAGCTCCACTGTGCTATAAGAGTGATGAGGATGGCGATGGTGGGGGTTCATAAACATTAGCTATTCCTGCAAGTCTGTCAGGTCAACAGTGTTCAGTGGGCACCCTCCTTACCCCCATTTCACAAACAGAAGATTGAGGTTTGGAGAAGTTCAGTTACCCGAGGTCTCAGCACAAGTCAGTTACTTGCTATCTTTCTTCTCTCAGCAAGATTGTACATAAGCCTACATATGACAATTATCCCTGCCCTCCTTAGAGGGAATTTCCCAAGCTCCACAAAGATGGGAGCCCTGACCCCTACCAGACTGACTGCTCTACCCCAAAAGCCCTGAGGTGGCTTGGCAGGAGGGAAGCTCTTACTGGCTGGAGCCCCACCTGCCCCAATGTTCTTGAGCTCAGATCTGTCCTGTCTTGTACTTGCCACATGCGGGCTTGGGGAAGTTCTGTTTTGGCAGCTGGTGAGCAGAGTTCCCTTATCCTCGAGATTATTAAGGGTTGAAGGTATGTGACTCATTCATTATGCTTGGGTAAATGGAAGACGGCAGCCAGGGGAGGGCCAGAACCAAGCCCAAGAGAGAATTTGAGTTCTATAGGCAGGCTGGCCCAACTCCAGGTGAGGGCTCAGGTGAGTCACACTTCAAACAGTCACCTGAGGCTAGGCACAGATGTCCTTTAGGAGAATGAGCCTGCCAAAAGTTTCATTGCTCTTGGCTCTAGCTGTCCCTTGGACAGAGCTGGGCTTGCTCCTTATCCGTGATGCTTTCAAGACCCATGAGCTGAAAGAATAAGGGAACACTCCTCTCGCCATATCAGGCCCCACAGGAGGGGAGAAACTGCGAAATGACAGGTAGGTACTTAATAAGCAGCATATGCACTAATGGGGCAAGGCCCTAAAGTTTCTGGAGAAAGAGGCTGCTCCCTCCATTCTGAAGAGCTCAGGGGAGTGAGATACCCTTGAACTCTCCTGAGCCTGGGATGGGGGAAGGGTCCCTAATGCTCTTGGTGGGACCCAAGAAGGGACAAGGATTGGTAGGACTGCAGGAGGGAGAGTAAGATAAGAGGGAGAGAGTGGGAGGGGCAAAGGCTAAAGGAAAGTCCACAACTTACTGCTGGTTTGGCAATGGAGCTAAGGAGCCAAGGTTGGAGGTCATCCCAGTGGGGCAAGAGTGGGGGCCACTGAGGGTGGAGACTGCAGGGAGGGGCATCCCACCCACTCAGGATATTCCGAGCCCCTGGCAACCATCCCTGTAGTGCTAGAGAGAGGCAGCTGGGCTTGGCTGGATGGTGAAGGATGAGGGTTTGTTGGGGGACCAGGCCACAGCTGCCTACCAGCCTGTGTCTCCAGGCTGGACCCCTCCCAATGCTGCTCACTTCACAGGGTTACTTACTAAGTCTTCAGTGAGTGAGAGGGTACTTAAGCCAGTGGAACCCAGAACACCAGGTTCTAATTCTGACCACTAGGTGAACTTGGGTAAGTCTTCGATCCTCTATGGATCTTAATTACCTCACCTGGAAAACAAAATACCTACCTCTTAGGGGTTCTGTGAGGATTAAATGAGAGAGTGAAGGTGAAACTCCTGGCACTGACAATGTCAGGTTCTTTGGCACATAGAAGGCGCTTCACCAATATCAGTTTCTCAGGGCTGGGCCTGGGCAAGAGGTGGGGCAGGCAGCCTCCCCAAACCCTCCTCCTCATGTGTCCCCGCACTTGGAGTCAGCTGGACTCCAGCCAGCCGGCCTGACTCCAGGCTGGGCCCTGAGAACCCAGTATCTAAGGACAGAACCACCCCTCCCGCGCCTGGCTCCCAGGCCCCTCTGTCTGCAAATGCCTCTGCGGTCCCCAGAAGTCCTCGAGATCCCCTGGAATTGAGGAAGCTGGAGAGAGACATTCCAGATTTTATGGGACACACAGCCTGACTTTCTGGGAGGATGAGGGAATAGCACATTCCTCCTAATATAATTGTCCTGAAGCTATTTCCAGAGGCTCTTAGTGACCAGGCCAGAAATGGCCAGTGATCTCGATGCCTGGGTACCTTCAGGACAAACGGCACAGAGGCCCAGCCCTCTCCCTGGCTGCCTTCCCGCCCGGCCCCCTGCCCAGAGCAGAACCAGGCCTGGCTGAGGCTCCACAAAGGAACTGTTGACACTGCTTTCCTGGTCCACTGAGTTTCCACACTCCTCTTCCTCCTTGAGGGATAAGGGTAGGTGGAGGGGCTCTGATCCCTCCTCTCGGCTCCAGGTTTCAGCAACTCTAACCACCCGACCCCAGGCAAGGCCCTTCACTCTCCAGGACTGTGGGCCGGGGAGGGCACTTCTATGTTAAAGTATTTCATAATCTTGGATCTTATCATTAGGAAACAGCAGAGAAACTCAGATTGGAGAACATTCTCCCAAACAACCTGCCTGCGCTCTTCGAAAACGCCAGTGTTTTCCTACAGCCAGGCCACCCTGAACAAGCCCAATCCCGTCTGATCTCGGAAGCTAAGCAAGGTCGCGCCCAGTTAGTACTCGGATCGATGAGAGACCACCTAGGAAGACCAGGTGATGTAGGTATAAAAAATAAAAATAAAAAATAAGGGATTGTAAGCTGACAAGGTCCTTGCAATCTGTGATGTCAACCAAGGGTTGCCTCGCCTAAAAAAAATAAAAAATAAAAAAATGCCAATGTTAGAAAAGAGGAAGACTGAGGAACTCCCAGGTTGAAGGAAACCAGAGCCCCTGAGACTAAAAGCAATGCCTGATCCTGAACTGAATCCCGGATTGGAGAAAGAGTTGCCATGAAGAACATCGGAGGGACAATCGGTGAAATTTAAATAAGAACTGTATTTTAGATAAGAATTCTGTATCAGTGTTAAATATCCTGTATTTGGTAACTGCAGTGTGGATATGTAAGAAAATGTCTTTTTCTTACAAATGTAGGGGATACATGCTAAAGCCATCGGTGGTAAAATATGCTGTTATTGTCTGCAGCTTACTCTTAAAATAACAATAATAATCAGTGTGTACGTGTGTGTGGTTACAAATGTGGCAAAAGTGTTAATAATTAGTGGATTTGGATGAAGACTATATGGGAGTTCATTGTCTTGTAAGTTTTCGGTAAGTAGAAAATTTTTCAAAATAAAAAGTAGATCTGTATTTCCAGTATTTAGGGAAGGAAATGATGGAGGGCGGCTTTTCTTGGCAAATACCATGAGAACTCAACAGGGGAATTTGGTTCATTTATTCAATAAATGTGTACTATATGTCCCCAGTGGACCAGGCCTCAGTGAGGGGCATGGAGATTCTGAAAGGAGCTGAGATTTGTTCCCTGAATAATCCTCAGGCTCTAGCCGGAGCCCCCAACATAGTAGATACTCACCACTGGATTGTTATTGCCAGAGGAACTGGAGAGAAAGAAAGAAGGTGCTCTTATGCCCAGGAATGAGTTACTCAAAGGGATTGTACTTCAGGGCATCTTGGTAAATGTTTGCTGACCCAATGAGAAAAGAGAAGGAGTTGATGCTGACTGCCCATAGCCAATGGGAGTTATGTTAGACCCAGCATAGAACTTCCTGACTCTCAGCATAATTAAACACTTAGAAAAACAACAAGGAATGCTGGAAAATGTCCACCCCAGCCTCGTTTTAAAAATAGGACCCATCTGTTCTGGAAGGCTTAAAGTGGTGCTGGCCTTGAGGCAGGGGCTTGACTAGGATGACCCCGGGAGGCTCCTCCCAGTGCTAAGATTCTATGATTCTATGACATGGCCAGCAGTCTGGAGTGGCAGTATGAGGGTATTCTCAGTGGAGAGCAAGAGGAGGGCTAAATCATCTGCCTCCTAAAGACAGAGTAAGAATGGGAGGGGTCCCTTCTGGCAGATGGGGCCCAGCCAGCCAAGAAGGGAAGGGTGGGGCCCTGTGGGGGTCAGCTCTCAGTCACCTCCTATATTTCTGGAGGAAGAGATGAGGTGGTGTTGGACCAGGGAGGGAAGAGTCAAGGGTCTGGACATTCCACACGCTTCAGACCCAAAGGACAAGGGCAGCTGAGGGGCCGTGGGCTGTAAGAGGGGCCGACAGCTGTTTTCTGGGTGGGACAGGCTCAAATACTGCTCTGTTCTCACTAGACAGAAGTGGAAAATTAGTATCAAGCTGGCAGCACTGGGGGAGACAAATCAGAGCCTCCCTTCTGGTGTGGGGGGTATTGGGAAACTTGGGGACAATGAGGACAGAGAGGGGAGGACTACCCTGCCCTCGGCTGGACCTAGGCAGGCCCAGGAACAAGAGGTGAGGTTAAATGGACTGGACATCTCTTTGGCCTGGTCAGGGCTTAGTCCCTGTGAAGTGTCCACTTTTGGACCAGGAGGAGTAGGAGTCTCAATACCCAGTCCCCTCTCGTGGGGTGGATATGGAGACCCCCTACTGTCAGTGAGAATCAAGGTCAAACATCCTAGAAGGTTCTGATCTCACAAGTCCATCCCCATTAGTTGACTTGCGACAACCCCTGCCCCCACCATTCGGGGTTCCGAAAGTCAGAATCAACTTAGTTATGGGGTTAGCAAACACCCCTCTCCATCTGGTTCTCCCTATTGTACGCCCAAGCAGGCAGGCAAAGCAGGTGTGGTGAGACTTCTTTCTTAGCAGACTGTGAGGAGGGCCAAAGTCATCCTGACAACATAACATTGTCTTTCAGGGGTCAGCAGACACACCCAAGATAGTACCTTTCCCCACCACCAACAAGCTGTATGATCTGAGGCAAGTCATGTCATCTCTCTGAGCCTCAGTTTCCCCAAACTACCACCTTGATTTGTTGGGAGAATTACATGTAAGACACAAGCAGAAAGCAGGCTCAGAGAGAGTGCACTGAGTACTGCATTGCTTCTAAGATGTATTTTTCAGTATCAGGATACATTGTGTAGTTGATGATTAGCTATTTGCTATTACCTTGAAAGGTCTGTCTCAGTGCTTGGAATTTCACCATTAGTGATTCAGTCCTTGGCCTTTGCGGTCTTCTGGAGTCCCTGCTTAAAGGGTGAATGGGAATTTCAGAATGTAGGTTAGAGCTAAAGGAAAAGAGAGACTGCCCCATTTTTTCTAGGGAGTGTCCTGGCCTGGGTCATTCTCAGAATCTTGCCTTACTCCCCATTTTTTGCCCTTCTCTTTGTGCTTCCTGAAAAAGAAGGTGTCTGTTTTCCAGTTTGAAAATTCCTGGGCCTAGGAGGAAGATGGGGAGAGAGAAAAGGATGGTGCTGGCTCTCTGGAGGCGGAGGGAACGCCTGAAGAGAAATCCTGGCGGGAGGTGGCAGGGAGCCAAGGAAAGCTGACCCAACTGTCTCCTTACCCAGGTAACCAGCCTCCAGGGGAGCAGTTCAGTGCCACGAAGCTTTATCCACCCAGCCTGGACAATGTCTAGACGCCAGGTGAGCCATCCCAACACTTACAGCCGCTCGAACCATCCCAACGTGTCCTTTCCGGCCCGGACATCAGGCTGGTCCCACTGCCCCAATGCGACCAGGGCTAACAACTTTAAACGTCCCCACACTCCAAGTGCCTCGGAGTTTAGCAACTACAGCAGCCCTTCGGAGCAGTCTGACAGCCCCAGCTCCCCCAACTTTCCAGTGAGGAATATCTGCATGGGCCGGCCATACAACTCCAAGTGTGTAGAGTCAAGCCACCTGGCTAACCACCCCAAGTTTGCCAAAAAGCCCACTTGGCATAGCAGCCCCCACTGCTTGCTTTGCACAGATCATCCCTCGGGCCCCTCTGGCCCCACCTTCCTGGACCAACTCATCAAAGGCATCAACTACCTTGACAGATCCACCAATGCCTTCTACAACAACTACCCTAAATCACTGAGCCTACCAAGGCTTGCAGCCAACTACCTAGAACGTGCTGCCAACTCCATCCACCTGGACCACCCAGACCACTCCTTCACCCGCAGTTACTCCAACCCCAGGAACAGCATGGCTGCCTCTGACAACAGCAGCACCTGCATGGTGCCACGCACCAAGGGAGTCAATACTACAGATGAGTCCATCAACATGAGTTGCCCACGCCGGCTTCATAGCCGGAATCTCACTCCCATGCTGCCTCATAGGCAAGGGATAAAGTTGCCCGAGCTCCCTTTATTTGGCAACGGGATCTTTTCTTTAGGTCGTCTGCCCAGGCTCTGGGAAGCAATCCGCTCAGGCTGGAGTGCCCCTGAGCCCATCTCTAAACCCAGTAGCTGGTGGTGACATCAACACCAACCGTGAAGTGGACTCATGTCCATCAGGCTGCAGGTGTGGAAAATAAATTGTCTGTGGCAAAATGTTCCTTCCAAGGTTCTGTTGAGGGGAAATGGCCATTTAGGTTGGAGGTTATAAATTCCAAGACCTACAGGCCTGGGCAGTTAAAAATTAATGGGTGAATTGGTGGTAGTAAGGAGAGGCGGACACTGTGTCTGAGTGGAGAGGGAATACCTGGTCTAAACCCAGCTCTCAAATGGGTTGTCACCTTTTCACGAAAAGCCAAGAATCTGAGTTTTATATGTTAGCAACAGATTCGAAAATATCATGATGCTCTGTGGGCTGAACAGAAATACTTGCTAGCTGAATGCGAAGCCACAAGTCTCAGTTGGGAATCTCTGGGTTTTACCTTGTATGGACCACTGGGGACATTCCTAGTCTCCTTTGGCCTCAGTTTCCTAGTCTCCCTTGGCCTCAGTTTCCCCATGTGAAGAAATAGGCTGGCTGTTTATACCCAACCCCCATCTGTACCCTTCTTCTTCCAGGCTCGTGGTCGATTTTAGCACAGCCACATGTGAGCAGAAAGGTAGCATAATGATAAGGATAGTAAACTGATATAGAGCACTTATATGTGGCAGGCACTGTTCTAAGTGCTTTACACATTTATTCTTTTAAAGGTATGGTTTTGATGACCAAGACCTAAGGTGGATGTAGAGAAAACTTTAGGATGGCTAGTGTGAGATGCATTGGAACAGGCAACTAGGGATAGCAACAGGTGGAAGAGTAGCCCTTCCTGGAAAATCTCTGAAAAGAATGGTTTTGTCCAAGCCAGGTGAGGGCTGGAGGGTCAGAATGAGGTGGTCCCACATTTCTTTCCGGGAATGTTTGGGAAAATGTTCCTGGGCCACTGGGGGCTCCAAACCTTCAGACTCAACTGATTTGAGTGCTGAGAAATTGGGCCCCACAAGGGACCTAGGTATCTATCATCCCACTGATGACTCTGGAGACCAGGCTTTCAGCCTAGTTCTGCTACTCTCCTGCCTTGAGAGCTCGGGCACATCATCTCCCCTCCCCAGGCCTGTTTCCTCTTCTCTAACATGAGTCGAGTAGCTTTGATGATCTCTAAGAGCCCTTAGACTCTGATATTTCTGAGTCTCCCCTTCTGGTCCCAAGACAGGCCTGGAGCCTCCTGAGCTGAGAATTGAGAGTGCTCCCCTCCCCCAAGAACTCAGGCCTCCTGAGTCCTGAGTCATCTTCCCGGGCTACTCAGTGGGCCATTTCAGGCCACAGGGCCTATTTCTGTGTGGCTCTGAACCTCAGGCCCAGTCCTTTCTGGCTGGAGCTTTTCTGCCTTGAAAATATGGGAGCCGATAGCAGCTCAGAATGTGGAATGTGGCTGACCTTGAAATAATGCAGAACCTGGAGGTCTACAAGATTCCATGGCTCTTGGAGGAGATGGCTTGCTGTGGCCTAGCAGAGAAGGTGGCAGACCTGAATATCTCTTCCATGAGATCACTGCAGTGGTCCTAGGGTGGGAGGAAGGAAAGAGGTACTGACCCCCCCAGCCCACTGAATTCACCTTCACTTCTATTCCATCTCTTGGAGCCCAAAGCTCAGCAGGGCACGCACTCCTTTCTCTGTCTCTGGCATCCCTTCGCTCCCCAGGGAGAAGACTTTGGCCTTTGTCTGAGGGGTCCTCAGCCCCCCAGTGACCCATTCCCCCCGTGAACGTTCGCAAGAATACAGCTTGTTAGAGTCCATTTGGGGCCAACTTAAGAGGTCTTTCAAAAGTGTCCTGATTCCCAAATCCTCTATTTGGCCACTTGAAGCCAGCCCTTTCTTGCTCTAAGTCCGTATTTGCATAGGTGTCGTCCCTAACTCTCCTGGAGATGCCTACGTCAAAAATGGTCCAATTTCCTTTAATCAGAGAATAAGACCCTTGCCTAGGACACTGCTTTTGAGGTCTCCAGTATCTAGCCCAGTTTCAGCTCACAATGGGAGCTCAATTATTATATTGATATTGATTACAGGGCCCAACGATATTGATTAGGTGCTCAGTAATGACAACTACTATTAAGAACATTTACAGTATCTTGCATGCAATGGATTTTCAATAAACGATAATAATGATAACAGCCAGCATTTATTATACTCCTCACTATACCCCAGGCATTAAGTGTTTTGTATGTGTTAACTCATTTAATCCTCATGCTAGTCCTTTAAGGAAGGCACTATGGTTCCTATTGTACAGATAAGGAAACTGAGGCACAGAGACATCAGGTTTAAATATGATAAAGATAGTTACAGTGTATAGAACATAGCAGCTCTTCAAGAAATGGTTGGCATTGTCATTATAGAGTACTATAGGCATAGTAGGTGCTCAATAATAATAATAATCTTCACAAGTATAACATCCTGGAAGTAGAAGGTGTTCGACAAATGTACACTGTGCATGCCCAAGAAACGATAGATGTCATTTCAGAGCCCAGTACACAGTAGGTACTCAAATGAAGTTTGACCATTGGTTGGGGATTATATTGTTTCCTAAAGGGACAGGATCTCTGTACTTGGCCCAATCGCTACTAGGATAAATACTCACTGCTCACGAATCCCTTCCGCCAGTCACTCAGCCCAAGTCCAGAGAAAATAAGGCTCTTAGAGAAGACCCTCTGCTTTGTGTGGTCAGTCATGCAAAGGCCATAGGAAGTCCCCATATTCACTATTCAAGCCATGCATCTGCAGGGCCCATGTAAACAGGAAGCAGTGTGCTGGCTGCAGAGCAAGCCCACGGCCTGCCGTGCTGTTCATCTTGTGAAAAGTGGCCTAGGTATCTTCAAAGCTGGGAGTGGCCGGGAAAGTCCTTCACACCTACAGAAGTATGTTAACGATTATTGAGCACCCACACTGTGTTCCAGATATGCTGTCAAGGCCTGAAACGTAGGTTCTCAGCCCTCTGCTCCCTGTGAGCCTAAGTTTTAGTATCCCGTTTGGCGGAGGGAGAAACTGAGGCTCAGAGAAAGTGATAGACCCAAGCTCCTGCAGCTGGTAAGTAGCAGAGCTGCGATTCCAACCCAGGCCTTTGACCCTCAGCCAATGCCCTTTCTACCTAAAGTGTAAATCTTGGCCCTTAAAATATACAATAAATTAGACAAAGCAAAGACAGTATTGAATCCTGGGGAGTTGGGCTGCCCCACAACACCGGTCTTCTAAACAGGGCAGTGTTAACCCGAACAGGCCCTTTATAGGAAATAGCAAACAAAGGGAGAAAATTTCTCAAAGATAACCTGTGGTGTCAGTTACCCAATCCACCGGTCCCTGCATCATTTGGAAACATTGGGTATAGGTGTATGATATTAGAATTATTTTTGTATACTAAAAAAAAATGTGATGTGGCCCTTTACAAACATAATTCGATATCATTATTCTATGATCATAAAAAATAAATGTGGTTTTTCATATGGTTAAGGTGTGAGCTTGACAGACACGCTCATCTTATTCTTGACCCTAACTCTACCCCTAACCTTTCCTTATCCTGAACCTAACCCTCTAAGCCTGAGCCCACGCCGCCCCTCACCCCATTCCTGAGTCTCGCTTTATCCCATACTGTTTTTTCTGTCTACACACGGCTCTATATAAGAAACACACAACTAGGAAGGGGGAGCACTTTCCCCCCAATTACATCTACACTACCCTCTTCTAAGTTGAAATCTCAGGAAACAGAAAGAGCCTCAGACATGTGCTGTGCCTGAGCTGGTACCACCATTTTTGGCAAACTCTCTTCACAGCCTCCTGGACCCCTCCCAAAAGGGCAGGAATTTTTCGCGAACAATTGAACAAAGCCGGGAACTCGGAGGGAGAAGGCACAGGACATTCCAAAAGGATTTCTCTCAAGCTCCAAAAGACAACATGTGGGAACACAGCAGAAGGTTCATAGCCTAGCAAAGAAAAGCATGAAAGGGATGGAAAATCTGCCCAGTAGGAAGGGCAGTGCAGGCTAGAGGAAGGAACAAGGGGCCGGGGGTCAGGAGGCTTGGGTGGGAGGCCTGTCTCTGCCACTTGTGACCCTACTGAGGCCACTCCACCTCTCTGGCCTCAGATCTGTGGTCCTTAAAGAACAAGGTTGCTCCAAAAGTAAACACATGGATGCATGAATATCTGATCATAGCAATGCTTTATTAATCACCATGACCTGGAAATAGCCCAAATATCCAACAATAAGATAGAGTTAAAGAACAATAGTGTGTTGATAAGACCAATACCAAATAATTATTAGAAATATGTGCAAAGTCAATATGAGTGCTATTCAAAGTAGCTGGCCCGCAAATTACTAACGGTTACCATCTGTGATAAAAAGCTTCTACCAAAATGTAAAGCTCTGTTGGTTCCAAAACGGATCAAGTTTTGCAGGAAAAAAAAAGTGTCAGCTAAGCTAAACAGAGTGCTTACTGATACAGTTAGTTTCCACTCTGAGCAAGCTTCTTATCTCATCTCAGACTGGTAATAAACAGTTTGGGGATTGGCACTGATCCGCAGAGCCATTTTTAAGTAGCTCTGGTCCTTACTGACATGTAGAACTATATTTATAAAAAGAATGTTAAGTGAGAAACACAAGACATGAAATCATATGCATAAACCAATCATATGAGGTAAAATGCACGTGAGTACAGTGACAAAGGAACAGAAATGGACACTTACGGAGCTCCAACTACAGATCCTGCACAGAAGTCTCCTATAGCTGAAGCAGGGGTGTGGGCAGGAATGTGAGGGGGTACGTGAACACCATAAGAATTCCAATCTGGCTAGAGGGGAGCAATGGGGATTGGGGAGCATGAGTGACAAATTCAAATTATAGAAACCATTTCCGGTCAGCTCAGGAGCTAGGTTCTGGGGCAGTATTTACAAAGTGTGTTAGGAGAACACCAGTCTTGTGAGATGTTAAAAGGTTTTTCCATATCTCGAATATGTTGAGGGATGCTGGGTTAAACAGAGCTAGCTGCACAGGTGACTGTAACTGGGGTTCTACTCAGAAACTCTCCTGTGTAGGTGTCTCTTGAGATGGCCAAA